AGCTGTAATTTCTGTGTGATGGTACCAGATTCGGACCCTCGTCCTATGAGCTGTAATTTCTGTGTGATGGTACCAGATTCGGACCCTCGTGCTATGTGATGGTACCAGATTCGGACACTCGTCCTATGAGCTGTAATTTCTGTATGATGGTACCAGATTCGGACCCTCGTCCTACTTGCATTATACCCTAACCCCCAGGGACCATTGAAATCCTCCAAAACCTTGTTCAGTATGGTCAGGGTTAATATTCATTAAAACTAGCAGTTTCAGATGAACCATTCTCTTGATTGGTACCGCATGGTTACAGAATACCAATAGTCAATGATTCAGATTATATGTAAACAAAACTGATGACGTACTGTGAAATACTGTGATCAAAGGAAACAATTCCATCTATCATTTCCCATGCGCAACACACTTCCCTTGTACCATGGACATCCAACCCACTCTTCCATTGTTGTAAATATCTACAAGTAATTTGGTCAGTTAAATGTACATGTACATGTAGGATGCACCTATCAATGACACCAATGCAATTTATGGTAACAAAACAAGGTCAATTGGCTAAATGTGGAAGTTCCACCCACGGGATGCCTGTTCTCAATGCTGTGCCCATGGACATAGAAATGCCAATTATATCTAATATCCTGTCAATTGAGCTCCAAGAAAAGCAACGACTTTCAAGAACACAACCTAACTTTGTGATATTGCCCTACTGTTTAGGTTCAACCCAAAACAACATGCAGCTTACACATGTTCTGTAAGAATGGAAAAGCCTACACATTGAAAAGTGCCAAGGAATTAAACCACAGTGTTTGGAAGTAACTGTCATTGGACTTACCTTGACATATAATATAGGTATCGTCTGCTTGTTTTTGCTGTAATGTCTTGCTACCCTATAGACTGTTTCTGGAACATACTCCAACACTAGATTCAGATACACCTCATCTCTTTGCTGTTGGGAAAAAAATTGTCTTGTATATGAATGCAGGATCTGATAACGAAACTAAAGTCAACAACTGGAAAAACTCCCAATGTAGTTCATCCTCAGATCCCCTGCATACACTGTGCAATGACCTCTCAATCATTCTATTCCCCACTTACACGATGTACATCACTTACAACTGAGCAAACACAATGTAAATTTTTACTTGCTACAAAAACCCTTCATTACAAAAGTCATAGCCATCTAATCTGGGTGTAAAAATGACTTGATGAGTCAATGAGTTTCATTTCCAGTAACAATGATCTCCATGACATTGAAATCAACACACATGTACATGACCTACATGTACATGTACCATATCCACTCTCATTTATTCTACACAATGCATGTGATTCACCTGGAACTTGCACTTGAAAAAGGAAATGGGTAACATCCCTTAGCCTTGGGTTACATTAAGGTTGGTGGGTGAAGTTACTTGGGTATTAACATCCCTTAGCCTTGGGTTACATTAAGGTTGGTGGGTGAAGTAACTTGGGTATTAACATACGTTGGTTACGCGTCTAGATCGATCATCATTGTAGCACGCTTGCAGGTGATCCGGTGTGAAGAGACGAGGTGTACGTGTCAAAAATGATTCATAACTAGACCCGCGTTCTGTTTACACTTTCTGGAAGTTTTTTGGTGGCTGTTTCTTTTGGATATGCTACACAAAAACTTCCAGGTAAAAAAATCCGGCAACATGAGCACTTTGAGTCATGGATATGTTTTTGTACAGAAAAGCCTATTCTTTCGGCGTTAATTATTCTTCGAATTAAGAGGAGCTCGAGTTAACCAACTTTTGAGTTATCGAGATTTTAATGTCTCTGCAAAGTTCCAAATTCTTTTGAAATACTGCTCAACAAAAATTTCTCAGAAATTACTACTACGGTACTTCTGAATGTCTCAACAAGGTATTGGTAATGGGAAAATGGCACCTCTGTTTGGCATGTCTGGTGATCAATTAAAAATTCACAGCAAATTCTAACATTCAAATTTACCTTTCCTGAGCTGCTGGACTTTTCCCCACTGGAGTAGAAGAAATATTTCAGCCTGACGATATTGCAGTGATCTAACTTCCTCATGATCTGCAACTCTCGATTCTGAAACATACAAATACAAGAACAACAAGACTATGATAATACATGTACCAGGTATGTCAATGCATTTAGTCATTTGATGGGGATATCGATAACATTCATTTGAACATTTCTTCAGTGCTTCCAATTAAAATCACTCATTCCATCACTGTCCATGTCACAGATAAAATTCCAGTAACTCGATCACATCATTCTTAAGAATCTGAAGGAATGACTCTAGAGTGACCTTTGACCTCTCACCTTGAACCGTTTGTCTTGTAGGACCTTCTTTATTGCAACCATCTCTCCAGTATCAGTCAGCTTGGCTTGATGCACAACACCAAATGACCCATTGCCGATAATTTTGGTTTCAGTGTAAGAGATTTCTACGTTGCTGGCCTCTTGTCTGGCATTAGTGACAGCACCTGATGTTGCCGTGACTGTGGTGACCCGATTGCCATCTTTGTCTAATCAAGAAAGAAACCACATTTAAGTTTGGGACATCTATGATGACTGTGATCTTGGCACAAGTGAAAGTGAGTCCTGCATGCAAATAAATACTGGAAAAGGCTGGCAAAGCATTGGATGGTAAATCAATCAAGTAGAAATGACAGCCATAACGCCATCAACATTTAACCCAAAGAGGAATGAGATGAAGGCGCTATAAAGATACATACCGGTACATGTACTGTAGTCTCAATGGGAAAAAAAAACCAAAGACAACCTCTTTCTCTCAAATCATAACGGCAGTTAACAAATGAAGAAATTACTGCAGGGGAACATGTTCCAAGTACCACTGACCAGTACATACATGTATCTCAGCAGGCTATGCCACTGATGTTAATTTGCTGACAGATACATGTACATGTACTGTAACTAATGTGTGCCAAAAGTAACTTAAATTTAAACAATTTGAGTAAAAAATTTATACATGTACTTTTTTTTATTTCAATGGTTTCGTGGAACTACTGTAGTACTGAGCATACAAAAGGAAGTGAACTGAACCTTATCAAAACCAAAATGCTTAGAAATACAATGTACAATGTCCAGTACAAATCATGTTGCAAATGTATGAAAAGGGTATTGGAAAAATAATGCTGACATGTGCATAAAACCCCATGTACATGTACTATGCATCATTTGAAACAACCATACAAATACATGTGCAGTAACGGTACATGTACGGTATCCTACTATGTTTGTGTACACTGTACATGTACTGGAAAAACCTCTACATGTGCACCTTGTAAAGTTTCATACTGTTCATGTACTATTACCAATCATCAGTGTGCATGTGGATACTGTAGGTTTGTACATGTACATACATACACACAATGAAACTGATACATGTACATTGTATTCATGGCAGAAACAATACACAAATACTTACTGCTAATTTGCACACTTGTACCCATCATGACATTATATAAATAGAATGTACATTATTGCTTGCCCGAATTAGATCAACACTTGCCCAAGATTTCTTGGGCAAGTAATGTGTTGAGATGGAAATGGAGTGCATACATGTATGGTAGTGTTGTGATGGTAATCTACTCTCAAGATAAACTACATGTACATGTAGTCAAGCATGCAGCATTTGCACATGTGCTTGCATGTGGTTGAAGCAGCCCCTAGGATTATGTCTACAAGTATGCCTCACTGTGGCCACAGGGGTCCATATGTGGTGGTATTGTTTACATTTAGGGCAATCTAGTCACTGGATGAAAAAGGTCTATACAGTTTACATGTACATGTACAAGGTGTGTATACTAATGCTTTGTAGCATTAAGCTCTGTCAATTATAGATAATTGCAGATATTGACATATCAGCCCATGGATATTGATAATACCGATATAATTTTTCCAAAGAATGTATGTTTTCAAGCTCAAAACCAATCTCATAATGCATGCATAATATCGAACACCTTTTGTGGTTAGGCGGCTTAGGCCCCTACCTATTGGTCTGCATTCGCGAGCTTTTTTAATCTTCCCCAAAGAAAAGAGCACCTGACATCAATAACACCAACAACCTGCTGTCAGAACGGTACACATGTATACAGCAAAGACATGCATACTCCTCTCAGTCCACGATCTGAGCAGCCGGCTTCACGCATTGTCGATGTGATTTTACTTGCCCATACCTAGGTTTATGTAGTTGCTTAACTGCTTCCCTGGACAGTAAGTTCCTCCTTCAACAAATCATCACTGACAAAATTGCTACGTCAAAATACGACATGAATATACTGTACATCACCCCTAACTATTGCGTGTATGCAGAGAGGGCACAGGACTCTTGATGCATCATTCATATAAGTTCGGGCAACGATCTTGCCTGATGTCTTGTACATGCATATGCAAAGAGTACACACAAAAGTACCGGGCAATATTCAATAACATTGAAGTCACAGTCTTCGAGCTTCATGGCTCATAGCTTCCGGCCGTCAAAGCTCCGCTACGGCGCGCATTGAATAACTAATAAGGTTCGGTACCCAGACACAGGGGTATTTTACAGTTTATTTGTGTACGCATTTTCCCTTGTGTGGAAAGGTGCCCTGCTAAATGTACAGTATGCTTAAAAACATGAGTTTTTACATGTACATGCATGCAGGCATGTAACAATGCAAAACTCATTGTACAACAACCACATACATGAAGCTGTTTACTTTCACCACGTTTGTGAAGAGAAAAAAACAAAGGTAAATTTGCTGTCTGCTACATGTACTGTCTTCTTGGCCAGAAAAATTAACACTTTATTTCAAGACAAGATATTGTCTAGAACAACAACTACCTGTACTTTATTATTAAAGCTTCATTTTTTTATTATATCAGCACTTTTGTATATCGATTTCAATGTTAAAAAGATATCGTTCATATTAATATCAAAGCGAAATCGATATATTGGATATTATCGATATACATCAACAGACCTTATGTAGCATGTATCACATAATTATTATAAATTACTGCTTGAGCCTTGCAGCATAATGCTGACAATACATTATTTACTCTGTAGACAGTAGACTTTTAGTGTAATTGAGTTTATCACATGCCCACAAAAATTCTGTACACCTCAAAATGCAGAGCTTAAATCCACAATCCATCTGTAGTAACATGTACATGTACCCGTACAAACAGGCTCACTGTAGTTTCGGGTATTGAATCTGACAGCTTCCAACTGACCTTGACATGATCCAAGTAATGGTAAGAATACTACCCCCAAAACACAATGCAGTTCCAAACTGATAATAAGTTCAAGGCCAACTCAGACATTGTATGACAGAATTTGAACCAACTCACAATGTGACATACACTGTACCAGTACATGCATGGCTGGGCATGATGATGATACATATATGTACATGTATGTACAATGTGTGTACTACATTGACAGATCTCCGAAGTACACAGTCCAGGGTGTCCCAAAGAATGCCCTTTGTGCACAAACCAACAGCAGTGGATGTGTTTTACATGTACATGTACCATAGTACACTTCCCTGTGTGATGCGTGACCCCACACTGAACTTCAAGCAGGAATGTTGCATGGCTTCAACTGTACTGTACTGTACATGTACAGTACTGTACATGTACATGTACCGGCAGTGTGTACCTGTACTATTGTAGCTGGCAGAAAAAAAGGTTTGGGTAGAAGGGTGCTAAGACTAATTTTTTAAGGTGGCAGAGGAATTGTTTCTTTCACGAGCAATGTACAATGGAACACTTTATTTGTTATATAATACATTAAACTAAAAATGTTGTAAGTCACAGAGTATGTGTCAGTTCACCCTTGAGGAGGGGTACTGTACATGGAGGTACAGTATTTCTGGCATAATTGCTCCACTCAAATACATCCAAGCCCCCAAGGCCTCTTATTGCACTGCTACCTGTACACTGTACATGTAAGTTACCTCAAGAGATCTCTGTGTTACATGAACTCTAAATATCATAATCACTGTCATCAGTTACTTCAGTACATTTACATCCCTATAAAATACAATCACTGTGAGTCTTTGTACATGCACATGTATGTGCGTACATTGTGGAATTGGTCAATGCCTTGGGATATCCCCCCGGTGTAATCCCTGCCTAGTGGCAGATTTTACATGTACCTTAGCAGTGCTTCCCCCGTTATAGTGTAGCGGCACCACTACGATTTACCAAATTGCCGCTACACTATTAGATTGGCCACTAGGCTTTAATTTTAACCTCTATGCTTTAAAATTGAGTGCTACGCTTAAAATATTGCCATTAAGTAACCTTTTAACACTTGCTACAAAAATATTTAATCATCCAAACACGACGCTGTAACTGATGGCCGCGCAGTATGGGCAGCCAGCTGGCGCACGCATGTAAACATGTGCATATACATTAACTGTACATGGCGCGTAGTTCTTTTGGAAGAGCAAAAGCAAACGAATTCTGTGAAGTACCAGTAAACAATAGGCACGTAACAGGTCTTCTAGTGTTACACGGACGAATTCGCTTCGCACCATGCTTTGCACTCAATTCCATGCAAAGTACAATTAGCCTAAACTCTTCTTTTTTTTTTCATGATGGTCTACCGACTTGGGAGAAGTCTAGACGTTGGTGCGCCAGACAATATACCGGTACATCTACTATATCACAAGTACCTGCTGCAGTATATCAACAATGCATATTGTAAAAAGTGTTGCTTGTGGGCGCGTACTTGAACTTTTTGCAAAGTCAAACATGTCACGTCCAATCACCTTGTTTTTCCCGACAAAAAGGCAAAACGTTTCGAGAGAAAACAATGAAAGTATTGATGGTGGAAGTCAAGTGGATGACTTGCCAGCCTCTGTGCAAAGTCGGAAGGATGGAATGGCGGCCTCTGTAGACTTATGAAAACATTCCAAAAAGCGAACGACCGGAATAGATCCTGACTGGATGAAGACATACGAGAGGCTGGAGGTCAGCAATAATGGGAAGGGTAAGTGCTGGCTCTAGGTATGAGCAGGTATGAGCTGTAATGACAACTGTTGCTTTTATGTTAATGAAAATTTCCATATTCATTTGTAATCTGTGAGCCAAATCTGTGAGCGGAATACTCCCTCTCCTCCCTCTCTCCGTAGCCTTTTCCTCACCCAGACCCACTATGTTTTAAGAAATTCCGGGGGGAAACACTGCTCAGGATGATAATGAACCTGTACATGTGCATGTGCCTACACTCTACACATACATGTATGTACATGTACATATACCTGGTAAACAGCTTTTATCTCTGGTGATCACTGCCCTTGAAGACAGTAATATTATGAACTACTTGGCGGTAACTCCCTGGAGTGATTCAAATGTCACCCTGATATCTTTCTTAAGAATACAAACCAATGCAATTGTCAATCACCGGTCTTCACTGATGACTTGTACAACATTCACTGGATTAAATATCATGTAAATATTCTTGTTTTATCTGTACTCCTAAAATGGATTTTTGTCTTTTAATGAAGATTTT